CCCGTGCGTGCAGCAACAGTGCTGATGAACATACAGTGTCCTTCTGGGCCTACTTGCCTCGCTCTGTGGCCTCGTTAGATTTTGCATAGACGCAGAAACGATTGATTTGCTGTAGAACAGATTCTTCTAAAGCAACCCAACAAGTACAGTTCTCAGGATTTTTCCCTCTGTTTTCGTCTGGATTTAATTATTTCTAAAAAAAACCCACCCAAAAAACCAAAACCCAAACAAACATACAAACACATCTTTCCAAATGTGATGTCGTTTTGCTCGGTTATTCATGTATTTTATTAGAAAACCATCGCAAATATCAGGGTAGAGCTGTAGCCAGTGATGTAGTGGTGAATAAATTAGTGCGTAAACTTTGACTCCCAGCCATGAAAATACAGACAACCACCAATACAAAGACAAACCACAGATTAAAATTATGAACAATTTAAAATTCCATTTTCCTCATTAGTCTTGATTTGTTTGTCAAATTTCCGCTTAGAGATAGAAACATTGCGCAAAATAACACTTTGCAGGTTAGGTGTACTACCTTCCACTACATCTCTGACTATAGCAAAAACATGTTTTAAGACAGAACAAATTAAAAGAACAACACTAATGACAACAAGTGGAGGATTTCCTCCAGAATGCCTAAATCCTGGCGGGTAAGCTTGTCAAAAAGTGTGCCGTGGATAGATTGTTGATTGCAAGGGGACGCACGATAGGCTTGTAGTCTAATTGTGAAAAAACGCGTTCAGTTCATCATAGACGGGGGCCCGTTCGTGGTGTATGTGCATGTCGTGGTAAGGCAGGGCGTTTTCAGTAGGAATACCGCTCCGGGTCCCCGAGGAGCCAAACACCAGGTTGTGGGCCCCAGCGGGTCTGGAGCCAGGCAGACCGGAGTAATGCATAGAATAGTGGTACCCCTTCTCGTTGTCGGGGGACGCAGAGCCTTGATGCTTCAGGGAAAAGTTGCCATTGATGCACAGAGGCGGACTGAGAGGCCCCTCATATTCGGGACTGTTATACTCCGGGGATCCGCTCCCGCCATACAGTGAGTCGTAAGCCGAGCAATAGCCGTGTGTCCTCAGCGGGTGCGAGTTCGAGCCCGGTTGGCAGTGGGGGCTAGACAGACGCGCGCACTGGTAAGGGTAGGAATGCATGGAGAAGGAGCCTGACCCATACCTGCCCCCCTCCTGGCACTGCTGCTCAGTGAGGAAGTTGCGGGAGTTCAGCTGGAGGCATCCAGCCACCAGGTTGGTTGTAGGCTGGGAGAGACCCTTGCACAGCGTCTGGACGTAGGACACAAGGTCAGGCCTTTTCCCAGAGCGTAATATCTCAGACAGGGCCCAGATATAGTTTTTGGCCAATCGTAACGTCTCAATTTTGGACAGTTTTTGTGTTTTGGAGTAGCAGGGCACCACTTTACGCAGATTGTCCAGAGCAGAGTTCAGGTCATGCATGCGATTGCGTTCTCTAGTATTTGCTTTCATCCGCCGCATCTTGGAGCGCTCGACCCTGGCCTGGGTCATTTTGCGTTTTTTGGGGCCCCGTTTCTTGGGCCTGTCTCCCTCCGTGTCCTCTCCGTCGTCCTCTTCTTCCACTTCGTCGTCCTCGTCGTCTTCCCCATCGTGTTCTGAGTGAGTCCGACTGCCTCCTCTTAGACCAGAGACCTCCATGCCGTCCTGGGTGTCCTGATCCTCCTCTTTGATCTTGTCGCTGTCGCTGTCTTCGGCCCAGCCGGAATATTTTTGTACGTCGGGAAGCAGCGAAGGATCACTGAAAAGCCTCGTTAACATTGTGGATCTAGAGGGGAAGGAATATATCGAAAATTAGGCCTCGGAATCACAAGACATTTTGTGTGGGCGCTGCAGATTGCGTGACAGCGAAGAAATTTCAGATACAATGGTTCCACAAAAACCCTAAATCAAACAAACAAAAAAAACTTCCTTTATCGCACTTCACAATAAAAATTCAAATATTTGGCTTATTTTAGGTTTATATAAACTCCCGATGATGTATTATATTTAAGGTTATTGCTAAATTGTTGTTGTCCCAGAAAAAATGACAAAATGCGTAAATTTGGGGAAAGAGTAAAAGTGAAAGAAATCCCTCAAATCTTTAGGCTGGGCTACAGCCAGACGGATCCCCATTTAATTCCCTGCTGTCAGTCGTATGCCCTGCCGCGTCCTATCGCAGCAGGTCCCAGCGGCAGGGGCCACATTACAGGTCCCATGGGGCCCCCCACTTTCACTCCTCCTGACGCCCATATACACTCCTGGCTGCATTCCAGCACCTCTGCTCATTACAGGCAAGGCAAAGAGGATTTTATGTAATTGATAGGCTGTCCACCTAAATTTTGTCTGATCATATATACATTTATATATATATGAGAATAAGGGAAACGGAACACAAAAAATCCGTTTTTAAAACATATCACATCAATGAAAATAATAATAATAATAGTAAAAGTACATAAAATACTGTCACTATCATTATAATACCTTATTATTAACCGTTAACAATTAATCATTAATGACACTTGCTGACTGTAACGTCTGAAAAACGAAACGAAAACGATCAGCCTACCACTTGATTAGCAAATGCAGTCCCATCACAGAAAAAGAAACACGCAGAAACACGGTGATCTTTGACAGATTCAATAAGGCTCCACTGGCTTCCTCTCTGACACGTTCCACTTCCGAGCTATTATTATAGTGCAGCATCAGATAGACTTGCAGCTCATGGTAAGGTAGGCTGTGGTGGTTGGTTAATTATCTCGGGGGGTGTGCCAGGGGCAAAATCTAGTTTTTAAATCTCAGGCTCAGGAGGTTTGCTCAATTAGAAGCAAAAACACAACATCGTTTAATTAACAGACCGTGCAGCTTACACGAAATAGATTTCACACATAATTCAGTATGCACGAGTGCACGATTTCAAAGCACTTTTTAGTCAGCGATAACCTTTACAGATGGAAATCGCTTGTATCGTTTTAGCCCTCGTTAAATATAAAAAATCAAGTCGTGAAATGGCCTCTCTTGCAAAGCCTCCTGCCCCTCCACTGAAAAAGGTTATGTTTATGGTTCAAACCATGTTGTGGCGAGATAGATTGTTGAAGATAAAACTGGACAAACAGAGATAAATCATGCCGCAGACTGCCTGTCACAGTCAATGGCGTTGTCCCACCCTTTCATTTGCTCCGAGACTGAACGTGCAAATCATCGACAAAATCATCAATAAATCTCCCATTAAGCTCGAGGACGTCCTCCATCAAGGTACCGGAGCCGATTTATAAAAACAAATCTTCCACGGAAATGTCTCACACTCATTGTCTTTTGTTTGTCAGATTCAAGGTCCAGACGCAGGAATCTCTAAATCAAATTAGTGTCCGATGTGATCTATTTACAGCCCGTGCGCTGTGATCAGGTCTGCTCCAGTCCTCGGAACCGCTCCTGTAAATGATCATAAAGCAGTGAAATCGGGATCAGGAGACGCTTGGCTTTTTGACTTGAGCGCGTTAGGCTGTCTGATTTATGATAATCCAGCTAGTTTGGGATGTTTGAAGTTGAAGGGCAAGCCGAGCAGGTGAGAGAGTGAGGAGCTATTTTGTGCAAATGCGTCCGCATTGGTATCCAACAAAAAGGCAAACACGAAAATTGCACGTTAATGCGTGACATTTTTTTTTGTTGTTAGATTGGGTTTCAAAGCGTGCCATCACCGGCATTGTGCTTTTAATCTAGTGGATCGATCCCAACATACCAGAGCAAAGTCACTGACACTGGAGGCGAATATACATTTACATTTTTACCTGTAGAATAGACCTTTACAATAAAATGTATGTGCAATAAGTGTGTTTAATTCACCTCTAACATTTATTAAAAGTTAATTCTGACAATATATCCAAACACCTGGAATTAAAATGCATTTAATTTATAGATTAAATTTCTCCTACATTTTGCACGGACACTTCAGCAACACTGATAGTTTTTTTTTCCTAAGCCTGTATTTTTTTGTTCCAACTTACCTCGGCTCGAGCTCTTCGCAGGGGATGGGAGGAGAAAAAAAATGCTCTTTACTTTCAGACCATCTTCAGGGACCGCACGAGCGAGCGAACCACCGCTCTGTATCAGAGTATAGGTGCAGGAAGCGCGCGTCTTTCTTCACTGGTGCTGACGTTAAGCGGTGCCGCTCTCCCAGCACGCGCGCCCGAATAAGTGGAGCTTGTGAACGAACGTGCGTCTTGGCTGTGTCTTTGTGTATACGTGTGAGTGACTGAGTGAGTAAGTGAGCATGTATGCATGTGTGTGTATGTGTGTGTGTGTGTGCGTGTGGCAACCGTGAGCTACCGGGGACGGGGTTACATACCAGCTATGGCTGTGATGCCAGCGCCCATATGGCTGGCACGTCACCGGCAAGAGCCATCACATGAGAGCCCGGTGATTGACATGCGCCCGCATTCGGAGAGATTTGCCCTCCCGGGGGAAAGAGAGACACACAGAGAGAAAGAGAGAAAGAGAGAGAGAGAAGCAGGAGGAGGTAGATGTGGTGGTGGTGGAGGAGGAGGAGGAGGGCTTCGCCATCTGTCACCGCGCTAGCGCTCACACAGCCAGAAAAAAAGGAGGAAAAACAGAAGAGAGAGGGAGAAAATAAAATGGTGGAACAACAAAACTCATCATTGTTGACCTGTGCTGCTGTTTCAAGACATGTAAGCTACTTTTTTTTAAATTCAAACCTGTGAAATTTGGTAATCCCCTGCCAAACTCACGACTCGGCGTTTAATACAATATAACGGAGAGCTGCACAAATATCCCCGCACTTACCACGAAAAAGGTGATATTAAAAGGGCTAAAGACAATTAAGTATGTGAAGTCATATCAGAAAACCCACTGATGCTAATTCCATATATTATGGTAGTCATCACACTTCAGCATCACCCATGAAGGATATACTCTTATAAAAATGTGGAATAAGTGGCAATACAGTGGGTAAACTATAACCAGCAGTCAAACAAGAGCTACTTAAAATATCTGAGCAAGCAATTAATCAATTATCTTCTCTCAAAGTCTATCCTCAAAGCCTATTATAAAATCATATCAATTAACTCTCATCAAATGAAAGGTGGGCAAACCGTGTTTATTTGTGGGGTTTACCCTCCACCACAGCTCCGGTTCAGAAACTGAGTGGGGGAGGGAGATGGGGATGCATTATAAGTGCATTAAGACCGTGGAACAGACGGCATATTGTTTATTTATTTACCTAATTGGATCAAATTATGCTTCAATGTATTCAGAGGAACGACAACCAAAACCAACTGTGATTTGTTCTGACTCTTCTGGGCCCAACACTGGCTGCAGATGACCCACTTGCCGGAGCTTCAAATGAATTAGATTAAAACATATACCATTACATAGGCTTTATCTGCATGCATGGTGTGCGTGTGTGAAGATCAAATGTTTACTGGTAACTGTGTCTGAATGTGTGAGGTTTGCCAGAGCTGCTGGTCATGTTTTCAGCATGCAATGCTAAGCATGGAGGGCGGGTGGGTGGGTGGGGATGTCCACAGGGGCAAGTGTCACAGAGAGAGGGAAAGAGATACAGAGACACAGTGAGAGGATGGGTGAGAGAGAGTCTGAGACCCAGGTGTGCAGACCCACTAGGGATGTTTGAAAAATGAGGAGGAAGGGGGGTGTAGCAGTAGATGACATGCTGGTTGAATCTGGCAGAGATCCTCAATATTTAGGAGGCATGTTGGCACATCAGTGGCAGAGATGCAAGAATTCCTTGCCACCAGCGCCCCGATCCCTCCAATATGTCTGATTTGCTGCATTGTGTCCACCCCAGCTCAGAGATCTCTCTATTTAGGAGGCATTAGTGGAGTTAATGTGGGAGAAATGAGCCTGATGACCACCAAGTCCAACTTGGCACAAAGACACCCATCGGGCTGAGGGAACAGGGACCTGGAGGCTGAGAAATAGCTGATAGAAGCTGATCATGTCCTTGGGTCTGGATCACCCCTACATTGCTTGCAAAGCCACAACTATGGCAGTGTTTGAGAGGTTGCGGGGTCATCCCTGGGGTTAACACTAGTGTGGCAGCTGTGGTTAGGGAGCCGTGATGTTGCACATTCATTAATGTGTCTCTTATCCCTTATGGGAAAGAGGGAATGATAAACTGGCAGTACCTTGAACCACGGTGGTGTGATTGTGTCAGCATGTGTATTTGTGTTGAGGGACACTGAGCCTCACTGCTGGCCAAATTGGTGCCCTATCCTACCTCAGCTGGACGGTGGAGGGGGGGGAGAGATGCGAGCGCTGTGGTGATGGGAGCCTGGTGCTTCCCAACAAGTCCAAAACAACCTTCAGGTCACCTTGCCAAAATAAATGCTAAATGTCAACGGCGTGGCTTTAGCCAGCACTGGGCTCAAGGCGGCTCCAATCAAGGAGAGTTTGATCTGAAATTGAAATGCCAGAGAAGAGCTTGTTTGGAATTATGATGTTTTAGAATGACTTTGCATCCGGTTTGTATGTGGATTAGCCTTAAGTAAGGACCACCTGCTGTGCTTTTACAGGCTAAACGCATGCAGTCAGATTCTAAATTAAAGCCCTCTCCCTTTAAGATCTCAAATTCTCCATCACTCGTTTCCTCCATGTTCAAATGACACATAAGAGCCTTTCAAAGTCATCAAGCCACACCTCCCTATACCGTTGTCATTCCCTCACCCCTTCCTTCTTCCCTTTTTTTACTGTCAGACGTGTGAGGTGATGACCTGCACTTCACTTGTCTTTCTGGAAGAAGTGCAAACTTCTGCTGGCACAAATATGAAATACAGCTCACATGCACACACACATATACACACATACACACGGACCCTCCCACCCCCATCAGACTCCCGGACCCCATCTGCACTCTCCTCTCTCCAGTCCCCTAATTGCATATGCACAAATGCAAATGCCTATTAATTAATTACTTGACTAATTAGTGCAGTGGTATTTTAGGGCGATAAATCAAGTAGAGATGGGGCCGAGGACGGCGGGGCAGGAGGAGGGCTGCACGGAGCATCGACAATGAACCCACACCAGAGGGAGTAATCCTAATGTACAAGGCTTGTGCGCGTGTGTGTGCTGTGAAGAGAATGTGCACAGCAGAGATCCTGAAGTAAAGCACCGTTTAAAAATGCTGAAGAGACCAAAGAGGTGACTGAGGGAGGCGAGTACTTTCAGTCTGGAAGAGGAGGTGAGAAAGGTAGCCAGAGAGAGGGGAGGCGGGGGGAGAGAAGAAATTGAGGTAGGTTGAGAGATGACCTCTGCTCTGCCAACTGTGCTGTTTCCTGGCACGCGGCCAAGCTCGGATGCTCGTTGCACCTATTTTCATAAAGGAGAAGGGATCAGCTACATACTAGGACTGCTACTGATCCATATTTATGCTCACATTGTAAACCTTGTACAATAGTTCAATGAGCATAACAGTTGGCATCATTTACGCAGCGATACTGATGTGATAATTGTGGCATCTGTGATTGGGAGGTGAATAATTCTGGCAGCCATGATAAGCTGTGTATCCGTCTATGTATGTGTGTGTGTGTGTGTGTGTGTGTGTGTGTGTGTGTGTGTGTGTGTGTGTGTGTGTGTATGTGTGTGTGTGTGTGTGTGTGTGTATGTGTGCCAGGCCCCCACCATAGGTACCCATGGAGATCTCCGGACTGAAATATTCATTCTTGTTTGCTCGCCCAGACAGTGTGGTCCTAATTGCAG